TATATATATATATATATATATATATATATTTATTACTGGGTATGTATATTTGTGTGTAAATGTTGGATCAAAAACAGAAGTTTAACAGGAAAGTTACTCTACTTTAAGAAGATTTAAGTGCAATTAGAGGAAGAGAAGGTAACTTTACTTCTGCATACCTGTTTTTAGACTATTGCCATTAATCAAATGTCATTTCTCTGGCTTTCTATACCAACAGGTTTATTTGGTGGAGGGTTTTTTTTCTGTTTACGTTCCGGTGAATTTTGTTAGTTTGGAAATCGGTGTTTGGTTGATGTTAACTGGTCTCTTTTGTGTGTATATGGTTGAATTGTCTAAAATAAATTCCAGGCAGGCTCCCAATCTAGGTTTCTGAAGGTCTGATGGAGCTTCTGGTTCACAGCAGATCTTAAATGTTCTTGAGGATGAGGTGGAGTCTCCATGGATCAGTTCTTCCATAATCTCTGAAACTTCCTCTTCCAGATGTGGGAAAACCCAGTTCCTGCAGCATTTCTGCCAGAACCAACCAGAACCATGATACTGGTCCTTGAAGGGCTGCCTGCTCAGGGCACACAAGATGGATTTAGAAGTCTGAAAAACTAAGTTCTGGTCATCTAATCAATTAATGTAAAGACCCTGCTTCCTCAAAGAGCTTAGCTGCTGCTGGAATATTAAATGAGAGTCAATTATATGAAATCCTGTGCTTTGTCAGACCTCTGCAGTAAAAATCTGGTGGTTCTAAAACATTGCTTGTGTTCACCAAAGTGAGGATGCTGGAGATCCATCACTGGGCTGTGTCTAAAGTAAATAATTAGAAGATCTTATTGTTAATATTTATAATTTATTGTTCTACTGTCTCACACAGACTTCCCCAGTGAGACACTAAAAGTTTTGTATTCTATTCTGATTTATTTTTTCTTTATAAAGCTATAGTGGAGAATGTTCTTTTTCCAGGTGGATCATCGAAATAAGCGGACCTCCTAATTGTCAATCATTCTTGTGATATGTTTATGTAAGGCCGTCCTACGTGCCCGTCCTCATTCTCACTAACCGGCGGTGAGTCTGACTTATTGGAAAAATTGCCAATCTTCTTTTGGAAAGTTAGCTTGTATGAGCGATGCAAACAGCAACTTTTACACAGAGCGTGCACGAGGTGAAATAGGCTCGTGCACGCTCTTGCGCACGTTTAATAGGCGTTCCCTCTTAGGAGCGGGTACAGAGATGTGCATTTTTTTTTTTTAATCCTCTACTATACCTTTAAAGGAAATTTTACCAAAGTTAATTTATTTCTAGAAATTCAAAGTGAATTGTGATATCTATAAAGAGAAAACAAAAAAGGAAAAACAAAGACCTTTTTCACTTCAAGTTTATTGTTTTTAGTGCAAATAATAAAAAAAATTCCAGTTAAAGAAACTCGTCACATTTTCTCTTCAAGGTTTATTCTGATCGGGCAGCAGCTGCAGGCTCAAAACTGCTTACTGAGCTGGGACCTCGGGTGGGCCTAATTTATTTTAGCAGGGTGGTGTGCGGGGCCACGCTGGTCTAACTTTGAACACAGCGTTTGGCTCAGTGTTGCTGCTTCTATAAGCTCGTCTTGGTGCTTGGGGTCTCCTGCACCTTTATCCAACCTGCAGGTTTCTGGGGTCCAGCTTTTCTCCTGGTTCTTGTGCAAACAGAACTCTTCTAACACCAGAGCAGGTGTTCTGACCCTAGATCAGTCAGATGGAGTTTGGACCAGAGAACCAATCACAGCCATGGATCTGGGCGTGTTCATTAACAGTCAGCCAGTGGATCTCCAGGGGGAGAAGTGATGTAGTGGGGGGAGTTTCCTGGATTTGGACCAGTCATAGTTATCCTCAATTGTGACATCATCAACCACTGAGTTTGTAAATGTGTAACAGTAAAATATAAACAACCAAAATCACCTGCTTCCTTATTTAAAAGTTGTTGTTTTTTTTATTTAATTTATGTTTATGTAAGTCCCATGTTCAAAGGGGCGCCACTGCTGCGGCTGACTGATTATTCACTGCACGGTCCACCAAAACATTGGTGGAAATAGTGAGGAGACCCCGCCAATCTGCTGCCCAGAGGGCGTAGCTGGGTGGAAAATGGTGTCGCCCACTCTTTCCTGCAGCCGTCCTGTGAGTAGGTCTGTCTGTTTGACCAGTTTGTTTGCTTTAAGCTGGGAAAACAACAGCTGCAAACAGAACCCTGACCCTCTGCACTATTTGTCAACAAAGGTGGGGACAAATGGAGGTTTAGCCAATCAGAGCCCACAGCTGAGAGAGGACCAATAGTCTGTCAGCCAGAGTACAGCACGGATAGTCAAGCTGCTGAAGATACTGAGAGAATGGAGGGTCTGTTAAGTTATTGGTTCAGACCAATCTGTCTACAGGACTCTAATAATCCAAGTCCTGCAGCCGGGGCAGCCTGAGTCCTGCAGCCGGGGCAGCCTGAGTCCTGCAGCCGGGGCAGCCTGAGTCCTGCAGCCGGGGCAGTCCGAGTCCTGCAGCCGGGGCAGCCTGAGTCCTGCAGCCGGGGCAGCCTGAGTCCTGCAGCCGGGGCAGTCTGAGTCCTGCATCCAGGGCAGCCTGAGTCCTGCAGCCAGCAGTCAGAGTCCTGCAGCCGGGGCAGTCAGAGTCCTGCAGCCGGGGCAGTCTGAGTCCTACAACCAGGGCAGTCAGAGTCCTGCAGCCAGGGCAGTCAGAGGGCAGTCAGAGTCCTGCAGCCAGGGCAGCCTGAGTCCTGCAGCCGGGGCAGTCTGAGTCCTGCAGCCAGGGCAGTCCGAGTCCTACAACCAGGGCAGTCAGAGGGCAGTCAGAGTCCTGCAGCCAGGGCAGTCAGAGTCCTGCAGCCAGGGCAGTCAGAGGGCAGTCAGAGTCCTGCAGCCAGGGCAGACCGAGTCCTACAGCCAGGGCAGCCTGAGTCCTGCAGCCAGGGCAGACCGAGTCCTACATCCAGGGCAGCCTGAGTCCTGCAGCCAGGGCAGACCGAGTCCTACAGCCAGGGCAGCCTGAGTCCTGCAGCTGCCACATTCATCTGGTCCACAGCGCACAAAAAGAGATCAAATATCCCAGAAAGGCCATAAAACCGGATCAAGGGAGAGGCGGATCAGCAGAGCACTAGCTGACCCCAGAGGATCCAAACTCTTGGACTCTAGCTGATTTCTGCTTTATTCTAAGTAGATAAAAATTAATTCATTCAATGAACCACCAGCTTGTTACTGGCAGAAAACTGGGAAAGGGTCTCCCTAAATCTGTGTCCCTTTTTCTTCTTCTGAAAATCCAGCTGGTTATGTAATGGTTCTGACTGGTGTTAGTCAGCCAGAGAGCAGTGTGATAAAGATGTTTCTGCATCCTAAGCCAGAACCGCTTACCGGCAGTTCCATCATGTTGCAGGACAGATTCACGTTAAACCAGTTAGTCCATCTTCAGTCAAACCTGACATTAAATTATCTGAAATGTTCTTGATTGACCAGATGGGATGAAAAAACGTCACATTTATCATGTTTCAGTCCTGAAATCAGCAGCTTTTACTTTGAGAGGACATCCCTCGGTTTCCCGTCTCTCAGTGGGTGGAGTCTGAGCCCCCTCGACCCAGTTGGTGCCAGTCCACCCAGTGCTGACCCGGTACTAGCCTGGTCAAGGGGATGAAGGTCTCCCCCAGCAGCGTGTTCTCCCAGAAGGAACCGTCGCTCAGAACCCTCAGGTGGATCACCCTCTGGTCCAGGTCCCCCTGGGGGATCCGGTCATAGACCAGCTGTGGGACACAGAGACACACACTTTTTTGTTACCAGTTCCTGTTTCCAGCTTGGGACAATGTGAGTGTTTCCGTTTACTTCTGGTAAACCAGCACCGCATGAACCACAGCCTGAGTTCTACTGCAGCCAGACCCAGGCAATGTTTACCACCCTGAGGGCATCTCTGGTCTAAAAAGCTGCCTTGACCTGTCTACCTGCCATCATGGTCATCTCCCTCAGACACGGTGCAGCAGAATGTCTCACCATCTCGTTGTAGGTGGGGTTACAGGTGCGTCTTGCCGCCTTGGTCTTCCTCTTACTCATCTTCTGTGGGTCTGGCAGCAGGTAGAGCTTCACATACGGGTCTGGGTCTGTACCATCCTGGAGGGGCTGCTGCAAATATACAAAACATACACAGCCAATCAGGAAACATAAACATCTCTAACATGTCTATCTGATGGTCTGGGTCCATTAGGACCAACAGATCAGAACCTGCAGCTAATTAAACAGGGGGTCTAACTGACCAGGCCTCTGATGTGGATCACCATGATGAACAGCTTATCGCTCTTGTAGGAAATGGACAGTTTGACTTCGCCGAGCTCCGTTCCTGCAGCTGGAGACCAGGCTACCTCTGAAACACACAGGAAACCATCATGAACCACATCAACGCCGACGGCTCTTCAGGCTCCCTGAAGGTCTGTCATGTTTCTTTAGACTCTCCTATCTTATTCAGTCCAGCTCTTGAACTGCACTGAGTAACATGGGAATGTCCTCCTGGTTACCATGGTGACCAGATGAATCCACTCGATTGCCACTGAGGTCCCCTACCTGCTGGTTTAATGCTACTTCCTGTGGTTCTCTCATCTCTGGACAGAGGGTGGAAGAAGGTGTAGACCAGGTCACACTGAGAACACACAGACACAGCCCACAGGGTATTAATGTGAAGGCAGAGTTCAGGCTTAAACAACAACCAGAACCTTTAAAGTCGTAAGGAAGCGGCTGTTCCAACCGTTGCATTTCCAAATTTTCCCGAGTGGTCCTCGACGAGTGAATAAAGTGAATGTGATTGGTTGATTATCATGGGGGCGGGATTGATGTGGCGGAAGATTCGCAAGCAAGTTTGGTTGTGGCCGGTGTTTCGGAAGCATCTTGCTAACCAGTTAGCAACTTAGGGCTTGTAGGTTCCCAATGCATTGAAAAAAACGATCTAGAAATAAGTAAAAATTTCTCAAATTAAGTGAATTTACCCTTAATTTGAGTAGGTAAATGACATGATTTGCCAATTGAATGAGTATTTTTACTCTTAAAATAAGGTATTTAGATAAAATGCACTTGAAATAAGACAATGCAATTGTGTTTTCTTATTTTAAATGTAAATTGTCTTGTTTCATTGGCAAAATATGTCTTTTACCTTCTAAATTCAAGAACAAACGCACTTATTTTAAGACACTGTCAAGGAACGCTATGGACAGCGGAAACATGCAAGAGGAGGAGAGTTTTGTGTTGGAGGTCGTGGATGAGTCTCCTCCGTCATACATTTTTATTTAGAGGAGGAAAGCGGGGATGAAGATGTTGTGGAAGAGGACGCCAGGGCGGCAGAAGCTTGGTTTGGTGTAGAAGGCTTCCAGCCGTACATGTTTGAGCCCTTGCCTCGCAACGCTGCCAGTTCTGTTAGCTCTACGCCTGCTGAAGACACAGACGTCCATCCCCGTGAACACTGGGACGGAACTCAATGGGATAATATTCTTATTTCTTATTTCAACTGTTGCATATATTAGCTGCGACATATGGATCAAGATGCTATGACCGAAAAAATTTGATTGACAGATGATCGTTGATATATGATTGGCCGAATTTAGGTGTACAAGCTGACGTATAACTAACTGGCCTGCATAAAATAAAAACAGATTTTAAGATGGGATTTTTTTTTTAATCGAATTTTTTAAATATATATATACATGTTTGAGCCAGAATGATTTGACATTTAAATACGACTTCCCTACGACTTTAAGTATTAAAGCCTGAACAGCTGCAGCTGCCTGATAGAAACCCACACCCACTTAGCAAGTGTGGGCACTGATAAGGAGCTGTGATGAAAAATTCTGCAGCCAATCAGAACCTATCGAGGAGCTCCCACTGACTTCTCCTCCTCTGTTACATGACGAGGCTCTTCCTGACCCACCTGAGCCACCTCCGGCGCCGCATGGATCAGGTGCCACACGTAGCCGTTCAGCTCGTCCTTCCTCCTGTCCGCCGTCGCCTCGCTGCGGGAACGGCCAATTACAAACCGGCTCGGGAAGCTGGGTGCAGCAAAAAAAAGGCAGTTAGGTGTGGACCTTGGTCCCAGTTAGATTGCTGAGGACAGGAGGTGGGAGTGGGTCTGTGGGTACCTGGGTAGTTTGGATGATGGGAAGATGAGCCTCAGCCTGCTGTGAAGTTCCTGGAACTCCTCAAATGTCCTCTGAACCAGCTGCACCTCCTGACCCTCACGCTCCACTTTCACCACAAACACCTAGAGGGCAAGCAAAGGACAGAGGAAGACATGAAGGATGAGGAGATGAAAGGGGAAACATCTAGTTAATCTACAGCTGTCTATACTTTGCTATTTAAAAAAATAATTATTTTGAGTTTGTGAATGAAGAGTCAGACCTGGGAAAGCTGGTTCTAACAACTTCCTGTTTGATCCAGCAGATCATTTAATCAAGGCTTCACCTGAGGCTCAGCATTTAGGGACATGTTCTATAGTCTATCAGTCTGCTTAAAATATGTGTTAGTGCAGCAGATTTCATTGCTGGTGGTCCTCCTGGCTCAATCCTCGGGCCCCATCTGTTTCTGGCAGGACCATCTTGAAAGCCTCTCTATTTAGAGCAGCTGATTAGTCAGTCACCTAATCTGGATGGGATTAAACTGATCTCCAATAATAAAGTAAAAAATCTTGCTTTTTTTTTATCAGGACCTGTCATTTAAATCCCATATCAAAAAGGTTTCTATAATTTCCTTCTTTTATCTGTGGAATATTGCAAAAATTCGAAAAATCTCCTGTCCAGGGATAATGCTGAGGAACTAGTCCATGCATCTGTTACTTCAAATCTGGACTATTGTAATTCTTTACTATCAGGAAGTCCACAAACTGTAGTTGAAAGCCTTCAGCTGATCCAAAGAGCTGAGATATTTCTCCTATCTTAGCTTCTTTTTATTGGCTCTGGTATAAACTCCATCTTATATCAGAGATGTGATTGTTCCTAATGTCCCTATCAGAGTACTTCACTCTCAATCTGCAGATTTACTAGCGGTTCCTAGAACCTCTAGAAGTAGAATGGGAGGCAGATCTTTTAGTTATCAAGCTCCTCTCTCTCCTTGCAGTGCTGCTGTTTGACAACACCTCACTTCTATCTAGTAGCACAGGGTGAGAGCAGAGCAGTGAAAGCTCTCACCGAGTGGGGTTCACCACTGGCCGCTTCCCCGCACGGTTTGCATAGGAGTTATATGTGAATTACTCGCCGTGGTCGCCACCTCTGGTCTGAACGCACTATTATAGGATCTCAGGAACTTTAACCCCAGTATGGAACAAGTAAACAATGACTGATTGGTTGTCAAACCTGCAGCTGACCAGGCTCCTGAAATAATCTGATATCAGCTTTCCTGATCTGCTCTGAGAGAATCAGCTGCAGTTTAACATCATGTTCAGCTCCTACTAGGACAGAGGAGTGATGGTTGCTACAATAGAAAACGTATTACTCACGTATCCCTTATTAGCAATGCGCATGTGTTTGTAGATGTAGAGGTTTTTGATGATGCCGTCGCTCCTCGCCGTGTGCACTCTGGGAGCGAAGGATAGCGAGGGCCGGTCCTCTGATGATGCAAACTTCATCTGAGCCAGGTTGTGGATGAAGAAGTTCAGTTTGGTGGCGACGCTGCCCAGACTAGACTCGATCAGCCTAAAGGAGGACACGGCTGATGGTTAGAGAACATGGAGCTGCGGTAGTCCAAAATGAACAGGCAGAGCAGGCAAAGCTATGCAGTGTGTTAGAATCCTTTAGCATCTCAGCTTATTCTTTCAGGTTGGGTCAGGCATATGGAGCCAAACCGGGGCC